GTTGTTTATGACAGATTTCTCTTTGTAAATCCCCAGTTGTCCTGAAACTCACTCTGTAGACCGGACTGACCTTGAACTCACAGATCTACCTGCCCCTGCCTCCCAAATGCTGGTATTAAAGGCATGCACCAGGATTACTTATTCTGTGCTATTATATATCCAGACCAGCTGTCTGGTAGCTTCTAGGGTTTGTCTGTTCTCTGTAGTAGTACTAGATACGCATGCCACCACATGTGGTTTTCCATGAGTTCTGGGGACCCAAACTCAGACCCTCATACTTGAAAGGTAAGCTTCTTTTTTTTAAACTATGCTATCTTCCCAGTCATCTTTTTACACTATTTTTATTTTTGAATGCCCCATTTTCCAAGTCAAGTAACTATTCTGAGATAGGCGCTAGCAGAATTAAATATAATTTTTCCTAGAAAAAGCATATATTTATGTAAACAAATGGCCAATATAACAGAGTCTGTCTTTTCCATTACAAATATTTAGGACACTTCATTCAAGATATTCAGGTCTTGATTCTTTTTGCTCCAAATCCACTCACCTCTGAGACCCTAACACTCACGCCTGCCTGTCCTTATTTCCTACTCAGAGTCTATGATCCATAAGTGATGTTGTGGAATCTTCTTTTATTATCTTTTCTTTTCCTGTCGTTCCTAACCTACTTTTTCTTGCCTTCCTTGTTTTGCCACACATTTTATCTTCTTGTTGTTTCCGTTTTAATGCTAAGTATGGCAGCCCTCACATAAAGTATGAGGAATGTAGGACCGAGTTACATTCCCGGTCCAATACTGTGATTTCTAGGTTGTTGTTTTCTACGGTTGTATTTGATTGGTCTGAAGATCTATGAATTCACAACCATTTTTCCTAAACAAGCAAGCAAGCTAGCAAACAAACAAACAAACAAAAAACCCCCAAATTTCTATAGTGGAGCAGAGACTGAAGACTGGATAACTATAGTGAAGCTCTTATTCAGCAAGAGAATGAGAACTGTACACAGGTACTGAACCGTCACTGGGTATAAGCTGCTACAGAGCTAATGGTCTTTGGCTAGTGCTGGTTCTGTTAACTCTTCCTCGATGCTTGGCTTGAATCCATGCAAGGAGTTCATAAGCACAAGCATATCTTTCTATCCGATTCTTTTTTCCAGAAGATTGGGGAAATAAAATATCAATTCACATCTCGGTTTTGAAAACCCAAAGCTAAGAGGATTTTTTGTTTTTACTTTTTTAGCAGTATATAATCGACTTCTTTTCTGTTTGAATCTAGTCAAGTCTCTGCATCATTGATCAAACCTGTAATTCTTTTTGAGATAGACTCTGCTGCTAATCACAAGAGCTATGACTTGAAACAATAAAACTCTCTTTCCTACTTTCAAAACGTGCCCATCATAGGTAAGCAATGGCTCTTCTCCAGAAAGGTTTCAATTTCACACCCGAGCTGGTAAAGCAACCACTGTCTAGACCAAAACTTGATCTTGTCATGGAGGGAAAAGAGAAGAGAGAACAGCACACAAGGGGGCCGATAATTCTTCATGAGAGGTGCGATTTCTCACATTTCCTTTACTACTAAAGGATGTCATCTTATCAAACCTGATGCTAATGAGGCAATTAAATGACCGCTCTTTTTAAGGACAGGCCAGAGGAATTTGGAAATGATATAATCTACCACATAGAAAATCCGTATTCTGAAACCCACATTGAATTTTTTAATGCCTCCTCTGTCATGGTTTTTCTAAACTATCACCTCCACTCTTTAGCCCTACTTAACATACAGGCCACATCCTCTTTCCTCTAAATTTAATATGCAAAATTTAAATTTTGACAATTTGATCTGTTGATTACAGTTAGTATCATGCAATTCTGCCTCGTTAACATTTCGAATATGGGCCAGGCTGCCCATATTATTGTGATGTCTGGAACTAGGTCAATGGTCCAAAGCAAAAAACAAAAACAAAATAAAAAAAAGAGCAAACTACTGCACTTTATTTTCTTTTGAAGTATGGTCTTTCTGTGTATCTACTTACTTTTTATTACCAATATTTTTCATTCCAAATGAAATAGTCAATAAAAGGTTTTCCCATCTTGTAATTTCTTTTTCTGCCAGCCTGACAATACTCACTACTGTAGTTCCCTTGTTTACACCTGAGTACTTTCTGTACTGATTTTCAAAACCATCATACTCTTTGCCATAGTATATAAAACTTTAGCAAGATTGCTATCTGTAAGTGACCTCATTTTTCTCTCCTTTTTTAATGCACAGACCAGTTACTTTTGTGTACTTTCTTCTGTTGCTGTTTTTTTTTCTTTTTTTTTTTCTTTTCTTTTGGTTTTTCAAGACAGGGTTTCTCTATGTTTCTGTATGTAACAGCCCTGGAACTAGCTCTCATAGACCAGGCTGGCCTTGAACTCACAAAGATCTGCTTGCTTCTGCCTCCCAAGGTGATGGGATTAAAGGCATGTGCCACCACCTGGTTCTGTTGCTCTTTTTTTATGGTCTCTGGGCAGTTTCATTTAACTAGACTGTTCTTCCTAGTTCTTTAACTGGTTGCCTCTTCTTTTCATTGAGGTTTCAACTCAGATATCCTCAAAAGGCTTTTTCCTCGCCCACTCTAGCTAACGTAACCTTCTTCCCTTCTCACTATGTCATTTCTCGCTCTTGGTCTAGTTTATTGGCATATAGAAAGTTATAGGCATAAATTTCTAAAGTTACCTTATCTGTTCATTACTTGTCTTTCTTAGTCAACATGGTAGTTCTGTTTGGTCACAGTATTTTTTTTTCTCAAATGGAAATGTCTAGAAGCTAAGTGATGTTCATGGAGGCATATGTCTGTGATACCGGCTCTTGGAAGGCTAAGACAAGAGTCAGAGGCCAGTCAAAAAAATCAAAAGCAACAGTACTTGGTATAGAGTAGTCCCTTAGCAAAAGTTTTCTGAATTAATGACAAAAAAGGAAGGAAGGAAACCACACCAGTCTTTACATTCATAACCTTCACCACGTATCATCCATGTTCCCTTCCTTGTTTGTAGCAAGGAGGAGGGCTCTTGTTTGTCCTGGCTGCCCAGAACCAAAATAACCACACAGAAACTGTATTATTTAAAACACTGCTTGGCTGATTAGCTCTAACTTCTTATTGGCTAACTCTTACATCTTAATTTAACCCATTGCTAGTAACCTGTGTATTTCCACGTGGCTGTGGTTTTCTGGCAAGATTCCAACTAGCTCCTGTCTCTGGCGGGGCTACACAGCTTCTCTCTGACTCTGCCCTTTTTCCTTCTAGCATTCAGTTTAGTTTTCCCCGCCTAGCTAAGTTCTGCCTTGCTATAGGTTCAAAGCAGTTTCTTTATTCATTAATGGTAATCACAGCATACAGAGGGAAGTCCCACATCACTTGTTGGTTTTATCCAAACAAGCATTACATGCAAGAGTTTCTCAGTTTGATTCTGAGTCTTTCCTCAATCCATCTCCAGTCACAAATTGATCTCCAATAATAAAACAACTCCTACATCTGTTTTCCACTGTTTTTTCTTCCCCACGACAGGGTTTCTTCTATGTAGTTGTCATGGAACTTGCACACTAGACAAGGCTGACCTCAAACTCACAGAGATCTGCCTACTTCTGCCCTTCCCTGAGTGCTGGGATCAAAGGTGTGGGTCACCAAACCTGGCTCTGACATTATTAACTTTTCTCCTAACTCACCCATATCCATCACACCATCAGGTCTTGTCGGTATGACACAGTTTTCTCTGGGATTTTCCCCTCCCCTCCCAATCATTACACACACACACACACACCTCTTTCATGTTTCAAACCTCTACTCTATTCTTTAAAGTAAATCTTTCAACCACATAATCTTGGTGAGCTCTACAAAGTCCTGAGATTTATAAAGTCTTGTGTGAATGGTGTGTGGTTTAAATATGGCCCCTACTTTGCTCTCTCTCTCTCTCTCTCTCTCTCTCTCTCTCTCTCTCTCTCTCCCACCACATCCCATACTACACTACCTGCAAATATATATATGCAAAAAAATGATTAGGTTAAAAATAAAAAAGTGATTCATTTTGTGTTATGTGCTTATGTACTTTTGGATTCAGTTTTTAATTTGGATTAAAATTTTATACCCATGTTTCAGAAACATGTTTCATTTCTGCAATTTTCTGTTTGTTATATTTTCATTAGATGTTAGTACATGAATAATACTTTTTTATTTGGGATGTATTGGGGAGTCTGCCCTCTTTTTAAATGTTTTTATAAGTAATTTGACTCTGTCTTGTCTTAGAGTTTTCATTCAGATAGGTTTCAAGTACTAATTTAATTTTTTTAATACATACAGGTTCACACAGGAAACAGGTAAGTTTGGGCCTTTCAAAGAATTTGTTCACTTTATTATAACATGTTGAATTTGCTAATTCTGGTCTCTGTGCCCCAAGCTTACAAACTCTCTTAGAGAAGTTAGTATAGACAGTCATCGGACACCTCATTTGCATTTTATTTCTCTGGGATTATTATCTTTTTTGGCTGAAATCTGCTGTCATGGAACTCTTGTATACATTTTGTGTCTTTAGGTTGTTTCAGGCAGAAATGAAATTCCAGTTTTCGTTTCAGGAAAAAGGAGGAGGAGGAGGAGTAGGAATAATAATAATAATGATGATAAGGCTTGATTCATGGAATTTCAATCTAGATATATACTTTTCTTAGTGTTCAGTGACCTTACTATTACCGTGTCTATTTATGCTCATGAATCCAGGCATGCTCTATCCACCATGAAGAACACAGTTATTACGTTACACTCAAATATGAACTCTTTCCCTGAATAAAATTAATCTAGGTTTAATTGAGCTGTCTTTTCTTCTTTCTTGTTTTATCCTTAGAGTAAGAGTAGATGGAGAATCTTCCAACTTCCCATTACAGGTATAGCTCTTTGTCAAGGGCCACAGAAATGGACAGAGGTAGTCTGTATTTCAACAGAATACCAGAAATGATTGCAAATGTTTAAATCCTTTCAGTTTCATATAAATCAAGGGTTTATTATTGAGAAAACAATGATAAATGACTTTGGAGAAACTGCAGGTGTCCATGAACAAGAGATTGTGGTCTTCACATCGTTTTCACATGTTCTTCATATAGTCTTTACATGGCCTTCATGTGATCTGCACCTGGTCTTCACATCATCTTCACATGGTCTTCACATGGTTCTCACATGGCCCTCACATGATCTTCACAACTAAAATCAATCAAAAGAGGCAAATTTCATATTTGTCACAGAAGTCCATCAAGAGGAAATCTCAATACCAAACGGCTATGTCCCAAATACAAGGGCACCCTCATATGTATAAGAAACACTACTAAAGCTTAAATCACACCTTAATCCCCACACTCCAATAGTGAGAGACTTCAACACCCCACTCTCACCACTGGACAGGTCTACCAGACAGAAAATTCACAGAGAAATAAGGGAACTAACAGATGTCATGACTCAAATGGACTTAACAAACATCTATAGAACGTATCCAAACATAAAATATACATCCTTCTCAGCACCTCATGGAACCTTCCCAAAAATTGGCCACATACGAAGTAACAAAGCAAATCTCAACAGATAAAAAATTTGGAATAACCTCATGTATCTTATCTGATCACCATAACTTAAAATTAGAATTCAACAGCAACACTAATTCCAGAAAGCCCACAAACACATGGAAATTAAACAATGCTCACCTGAGTCACCAGTGGGTCAACGAAAAAATAAAGGAAGAAGTAAAAGACTTCCTAAAATTCAATGAAAGTGACCACACAACAAACCCAATTTTATAAGAAACAATGAAAGCAGTGTTAAGAGAAAAGTTCATAGCACTACATGCCTTCATGAAGAAGCTGGAAAAATCCCACACTAGTGAGTTAACAGCACACTTGAAAACTCTAGAACAAAAAGAAGTAAACTCACCCAGGAGGATTAGATGGCAGGAAATAATCAAATTGAGAGCTGAAATAAAAAAATAGAAACAAAGAAAAAAATACAAATAATCAATGAGACAAAGAGTTGGTTCTTTGAGAAAAATCAGCAAAATAGACAAACCTTTATCCAAACTAACCTAAAGGCACAGAGAGAGAGAAAGAGAGAGAGAGAATATCCAAATTATCAAAATCAGAAACAAAAAGAGGGGCATAACAACAGACATGGAGGAAATCCAGAGAATCATCAGGTCATATTTCGAAAAACTGTATTCCACACAATTGGAAAACTTAAAAGAAATGGACAACTTTTATTTCCTTCATTTACCAAAATTAAATCAACACCAGATAAACAAATTAAGCTATAACTATAACTATAACTGCTAAAGAAATAGAAACAGTCCTCAAAGGTCTCCCCTGCAAAAAAATGCCCAAGACCAGATGGTTTCAGTGCAGAATTCTATAAGATTTTTGAAGAAGAACGAATACCAATACTCCTCAAGTTGTTCCATACAATAGAAACAGAAGGAACATTGCCAAACTTTTTATGAGGCTACAATTACCTTGATACCCAAACCACATATATACATTACTAAGAAAAAGAATGTCACTCATGAACATTAATGCAAAAATATTCAACAAAATACTGGCAAACCAAATACAAGAACACATCAAGAAAATCATCCACCATGACCAAGTAAGCTTCATCCCAGAGATATAAGAATGGTTCAACATATGTAAAATCTGTCAATGCAATCTACCATATAAAGAAACCGAAACAAACAAACAAACAAAAAAACCCCCACATGATTCTTTCATTAGATGCTGAAAAAGCCTTTGACAAAATACACTATCCTTTCATAATAAAGGTCTTGGAGAGAGCAAGGATACCTAAACATAATAAAGGCCATATACAGCAAGCCAACAGCCAACATCGAACTAAATGGAGAGAAACTCAAAGTGAGCCCACTGAAATCAGGAACAAGACAAGGTTGTCTACTCTCTCCATATTTACATGTTGGGAATTAAACTCAGGACCTCTGAAAAAAAAAGCAGTCAGTGTTCAGAGTCATCTCTCCAGTCCCGGATTTTGGTTTTAAGTTCCAGCTATAACAGACTTCAGTATGTTAGCAGTTGTGAGCTTCAGCCTTCACTTGAATTGTCTTCCTTATACACTTCCGCTGGAAACTCTCACTTGGCTAATACTACTTAGGTTTAGCAATTCCAGTGAAGACGTGTCCTCTTTTTAGTCTTATTATTTGAAAACTGTAATATATGTAGGGAGTTGGAAAGGGTTCAGATTGTTAGTTGTGATTGTATGTGCCCCATTAAACCCTTTCTCGAGAAGACCTTTATGGGGTGAAAGCAAATTTAGAAAGAAATAAATGAAAATTGAAATAGGGTAGTAGAAACACGACCAATGAAGATGCAATAGCTGGACCCAGAAGGGATGGTGGCACGTTGCAGAAGTTTTTAGAGGCTAGTGTCATGACCTGGGAGTCTAGCGATCACACTGAAGAAACGAAGGTCACTGACAAGTTTTTTAACTTCTGTCCCTCAGCGCAGGGGGGACAGGAAGCAGCTGCAAGCAGTCTCAAACCACAGCCCTTGACCTTGGCGGCTGCAGACAGGACCTGCGTCCTGTGGGAGCCACTGAGGCGCCTTACAGCTCCCTCCGGGCCCTCCGGGCGGCCCTGCGCGTGCAGGGTACGCGCTCCCCCGAAGCGCGTTCGCGTGCGGCCCGGGCCGGGAGGCGCCGCTAAGGAAGCCGCGCCCGCCCGCTGACCCTGATCACACACGTGTCGTCCTAAAATGTGCCTGTCTCATCAGTCGAGAAGTTCTGGATTCTACGCCTAAATATATCCATCAGAGAGGATGAATCGCGGAGCACTGAAAGATCCTGAGCTTCACAGTGAAATACAAAAATCGGGCTAGGTTAGCACGACCGCGCAAAGGCTGAGCCATTCTGGCACTGCGGAGGACAGCCGCATCCGGGCTTTCCTGCCGCAGACTGTCCTCCGAGCCAGGGGTCCTTCAGGTAGGAGGTCCTGGGTGACTTTGGACGTCCGCTTAGCCGTGTTGCAGAAGCTGCTAGGTGTATTTGCTGCTCTCGTTCTCCTGTCTCCGTGGAGGTAGGCCTCTGCCGCAAACATGCTCCGTCAGATCATCGGGCAAGCCAAGAAGCATCCCAGCGTAAGTTCATGATCTTTTCCAAGGTGGCTTCTGTGTTTGGTGCACCTGCCTCTGTCCCCTGGGGACGCTCCCTTTTCACTGTTCTTGGAGTTTACCCTGTCTGTTGTTGGCCTGATCTGGTTGCTCTAAGCCTTTTATTTGTGACTGTTTAACGCTGCGGAGTTTTGCCAGAGCAGAAGGTGGCAGACATCAGGGAGGGAAGGTAAATATTCTGAGTGTTGGAACGCTGGCCACGCTCTCGCAGATTGGTTGCTCCAAAGAGGGTTGGATGGTCCACAGAGTGTGTTAGAATCCAAGAAAGGTCAGGTTTCTTATCTTTGCTTTTGAGGCTTCTATATCCACTGCATTGCATCCCCAAGCCTTCTGAAATGTACGGGATCTTCATCCTGGAATCCTTAACTTTTCTTGGATACCTTGCATTTGCAAAATTACTTAAGTTTTCTTGACATCTCGTTTACGTTCAATAAAACTCCCCTTATGACAGTCTCTAAGATAACTAATCTTTGCCTTAATCCTGGTTTTCTAAATACTTAACAAGTTTAATAAAAATCCGTTTTCAGAGTTAGTTCCTAAAACCAGTGCTTGTAACAGACATATCTGCCAGCTAATTATGCTCTTTATTTCACAGAGATTATGTGTTTATCACTACCACTATTATTATCTTTATTATTATTAGTTTTTTATGGACAGGCTTTCTCTGTGTAACCTTTGGTGTCCTGGAACTCACTCTGAAGATCAGTCTGGCCTCGAACTCACAGAGATCTGCCTGCCTCTGCCTCCCAAGTGCTAGGATTAAACGCATGCACCAACACCACCCAGCAAGAAGTCAGCCTCTTATAACAAATAATCCTAATGTCTCTAGAATACAATTGAAAAGAAACATTGCTTCCATCTAAGATCAACTTTTGTTCCCCTTTTAGGACAAGTTAACGAAAGGGATTTGGATGTTACCATGTAGCAGCCATTTTAGTCTTATTTTGGAAAAGATCAAGGAATGCGATGAGGGGTGCTATGTTTTGTCTGTTTTTTGTTCTAGTTGATTCCTCTCTTCGTATTTATTGGAGCAGGAGGTACTGGAGCAGCGCTGTATGTGATGCGCCTGGCATTGTTCAACCCAGATGTCAGGTGAGTCTCCTGATGCTTAAAGCTTGGATGACTGAGGAAGCTGGCCTGGGGACCCCAGTCCTGAGAGAGGTAGCTAAACAACTACAATTTTGTAGCCATGCAGTCCCCAGGACTTCAGGCTGCTGACATTTACCTTTCCTGTCTCATGAATTTACCCAGTTTCCCTGAGTTTTAGTGTCCTGTTGGCAAAGTAGAATTGCTAAGTCTTCCATTTCAACAATTGGGATAATAATTGTTTTGTTTGTTTATTGTTGTTGTTGTTTGGAAACAGGGCCTCATTATGTATCTCTGGCTGTCCTGGAACTCACTGCGTAAACCAGGCTGTCATTGAAATCACAGAGATTTGTCTGCCTCTACCTCCTGAGTGCTGGGATTAAAGGCATATGCTACCATGCCTATGATTAATTGCTTTTTATAAAATACTTAACCATGATTCTTGTCCTATGTGAGTGTTTTTTCTTTTTAACAATAAATGATTCTTTTTGCAGTTGGAAACGATGAATGGGGAGTCTATAAACTTTTGTGTATTACTTCAATGATAAAAATAGAAGATTTTATAAAAGCCAAATACAAGCATTCCTGCTATAAAGACAGGAATGAGGACAGATATCCTAAACGGCTGTGACTGTGATTTTTACCAGTTGCATGCTTGTTTAACTATGAATTCTACTGTTTAGCTTCATAGTGAAAGTAATACTATCCTATACCTACTAGAAAATGAGTTTGATCTCTTCAAAATACTAGCTTCTAAGGAAGTATTTCGAAACACTATTGTAAGTAGTGTTTTATTACTATAATAATTATACTGTTTTATTCATTTTAGCTGGGACAGGAAAAATAACCCAGAGCCTTGGAACAAACTGGGTCCCAATGAACAATATAAGGTAAGGTACAACATTGTTCAACGTTGCTGCAAAGAATATTGTAACAGATCTGTGGCTGTGTGGTTTTTCTTGAAATGAGATGTGCAGGTAAAACTTTTATTATCATGATGAACCTTGAAGAGTTGCTGCCATTGCGTTTGAAGTATGGATAGCCTGGTTGGTTGCCTGTTTCTTCTTGGTATGGTTCAAATATTTTTGGTGAGGTTTAGTAGGAAGAAATAAAAGTCAGTTAACAAAATTTTGCCATGAGCCTCATAGATAAGCTATAACATCTTCCCAGAAGAGTGGTCTATTTAGCTACTCTTTGAAAGAATGTATTCATGTACCATGGCTATTGATTTCTCAAACATAACCTTTCTTATGTGTTGCATAGAAACCTTCTGTTGTCAAGAATTCAGGTATAATTTTCAGGCCATTCAATCTATCTATTTAACGTGCCTAATAATCCCTTAGGTTTTCTGCTGCATCCAACTGATTCTCAGTACCTAGCAGTTTGCCTTAGCTACGTACTAGTCACGCTGAGCCATGTTTGACTAAGACCTGGGAAAAGTGTCTGTGGTAGAGACAGGGGTTCTCATTACTATTTGTAGCAACTTTAAAGATTATTCTTTACTCACTTTATTTTACTTTTTCTTTTTATTCCTTTTGTTTGTTCATTTTTTTGAGACAGAGTTTTCCTGTGTAACAGCCCTGGCTGTCCTTTACCTAGCTCTTGTAGTCCAGGCTGGCCTCGAACTCACAGAGGTTTGCCTCCCAAGTGTGGGAATTAAGAGCATGCGCCACCACTACCTGGCTCTTTACTCACTTTTAAGATTTTGCTTAACCCAACTCTAATTTGGCTTCTCAGTACTCAAGCTGCTGTCCTCTAATGGTAGTACTAGAAATTCACTAGCCAAGCTGAAGCAAACCATCTTCTCTGTGCTCAAGAAGTAATAAACATGCATTCTCATTCATTATTTTGTTTTAGGAATTTAAGTACCAGTTATTCTTTGGGGAAGTGTATCTGAATGTAAAAAAAAAAAGCATTAAAAAGGAGAACAAAGTACTAGAATTTGGTTGTTTGACCAAAGAGCATACTGGGATATTCTATATAGTTATTTCGGGAAATGTTCCAGATGATTCCAAGAGTTGTGCCGGTTACTGGTGCCCTGAAATATGATGACAGGCTGATGATGTGAGGCCCTGTTAACTGAAAGTGGAATGTTGCTGCGTTAAGGCCCTGGTGTTTGTGGCATAGCCTGAGCTTTGAGTGCTTGTGGCTCATAGAGGATAGAAATTGAAGAATGTTGTTATATTGTAGTAAGAGTGAAGAAAACAAAATCTAGATGTTCATTAAGTCTGAAATGAACAAAGTCTACTTTTTTTGCTTTTAAACCCAAGCAGTGAGGTAATATTCTCCAGAGTGATTTTTCTGTTACCTAAAGAACTTTTTTGAGGATGGACTGGTGTCTCTGTGTAGCCTTGGCTGCCCAGGAACTCAGTCTGTAGACCAGGCTGGCCTTGCACTCAGAGATCTACCTGCTTCTATACCCCAAGTGCTGGGATTAAAAGCATGTGTGAAACTCTACGCTTCATCTAAAAGAATTTTATTCATTTCCCCCATAGAGCTCAGTTGTACCATATGCCTTTTTTATTTATTTATTTATTTTTGTGGCAGGCAATGAAGTAGGAAGATGATATTTACCACTTTTAAACTATTTTGTTTTTGACCCCCTGTTCTTTCCATTTCCGTTGAGAACCAGAGTGGCAAATAAGGGCTTCTCATCAAACTGGAATGAAAGGATTGTGGAGCAGTTGACTTAGAAACAGCAATGTGAATAAAAACTAAAAGTTAATAGTGTTAAGATACTAAGATTTGGGGTGGCTATGATAAACAGTACCATAGATAGGGAAGCTTAGGCAGCAATGTGTCACTCTCTCTGTTTTTCTCTTATAAACAAAATAGCCTAGTTGTGAAGGCTCTGCCCTTATGACCTGATTACCTTCCATATTTTCAGTTTCTAAATATCATTATCTTATTAGGGGCTAGAACTTCACCAGGCATTTTAGGAGGACATGAATATTTAGTTCATAAAGGAAGGTTATTGGTTCCCCAAAGCAACAACTCATAAAACAACAAGAGATTAGGAACAGATGAGGTTTAAGGATTAATGGCCCAGCAATACATCAATGAAAGAAATGCTTCAAAGCCAGGATCAGATATCACCATCTAGGGTGCTTTCTAGGTGACCACTGTTGAGAAAAGCAGCAGAGGCGTGGACGTGAAAAAAGCAAAGCAGATTTCAAAATTACTTCCAGAGAGAATTTTAAGTACAAAGCAAATACATCAAAAGCCCACTAGCTTTGAGGAAAAAAATTGTCTCTCTGCATAGTCCTGACCTGGAACTCACTGTGTTGACGAAGCTGCCTTTGAATTCAGATATACCTGTCTGCCTTTTTGCCTTCAGAATGCCGAGGGATTAAAAGCATGCATCACTACTTTGGCAGAATAGTTGGTTTAAGGACGTAGCCGTGGTTGTCTTGAAACTTGATATGTAGATCAGGTTGATGTTCAACCTGATTGGTTGATCCCTCTGCCTCTGCCTCAAAATTCTGGGTGTAACCACCACCACACCTAGCAATGGCTTTGTTTTTGAATATTTGTTCTTACTGCTTTGAATTCCATTTATGAGTACAGGAACCTGCTGAGATTACAGATGTCAGAGCCCTCGCTGGAGATGGAGTTGCCAAGGTGGTTTGTGAGCCACCCCACATGGGTGCTGGGACCTGAACGCTGAGCCTTTAGATTAACAGTACTTGCTTTCAGCCACTAAGTCATCTCTCCTGCCTTTTAGTTTAGTCAGTTTTAAGTAATTTATAATTTGATCCTCAATTAGATTTTTATAAAGCAATAAGAATGCAGAAGACGGTGATGGTTAAGATAAACCACAGCTAGATGTTTTTGACATCTATTAGATGTTTATTTTCCGCTTACTACATATTATACTTGTATATCTATCTCAGTATAGCCTAATATTGTGCAGACATGTTAGAGACTAGTATAACTTGTTCTGTTGTCTAGGTAAATTGATTTTTTACAAGACAGAGCAAAGAATATTGCTCGTTTATTTACATGTTTCTGTCCAAGTAACCCTAGACCAGTGTGTATAAGCCTAAGGATAACTTGGTGGTATGCTTTACAACTTGGAGAGTTTTCTTTTTTAACAAATCAAGTAAGGAGTTGGGGATGAGGTTCAGCTGGTTAAGTGTTTGCCTAGCATGCGCAAAGCTCTGTGTGCAGTCCCCAGCACCCTTAAAACCGAGTGTGGTGACATATGCCTGTCACTCCGGTGCTGGAGAGGAGGAGGCAGGAGAGCAGAAACTCTTAAGTTTATCCTCATATACACACCATGGAGCTGTGTGAGATCCTGCCTCTTACAGTCAAGAAGTATATATTTGAAGAAAAAGGGTTTGAAGAAATCCCTGTGGGAACAGATTTGTGAACCATTTGTTTGTATGTTTTTTACAGTGGAAAGGAATGAGTGTAGGGCCTCACATAGGCAACTGCTGTGACCTTGAGCTAGATACCAGCCCTGAAATCTCTTAATGCAATCTGTCTTCCATGCTGTGAAGAGACTCCGTGACCAAAACAATTCATATGAAAGAGGACACTTAATTGGGGTCTTGCTTATAGTTTTGAAGCATAGTTCATTATTATCTTGGCAGAGAACATGGTAGAAAGCAGGCATGGTGCTGGAGAATGTATTTGGAAGCTACATCCTGGTCCACAAACAGAGAAAGAACTGGGCCTGGCATGGGATTTTGAAACCTCAAAGCCCACTACCCCAGTGACTCACTTCCTCCTACAAGGCCACAACTAATCCTTTAATCAGTATTGGGGAGTTCCACTCCCGGGTGACTAAACATTAATATATGAGCCTATGGGGGCCATTCTTATTCAAACTAGTACACAGACTCTGGAGAAAATGCTTATAATTCTTTTACAGATAAATAACTTATTTTCAAGGAATTATAGCATTATTTCTTAGTTTTCTTTAGCCCAAGAATAAGTAAAACTAAGATTATAATTTTTGTTTCTTCCAGTAGAAATTCTAGACCCATTTCAAATAACATCACTGAAAAACAAAATAGCAACCAACTCACTAGGAGTTAGATATTGCTTAGCACTCGAGTAAAATTTATTTCTAAAATGAATCTTAATTGAAATATTTGGAAATCTTAGACATGTTTTAGTGTCGTATTACTTAAAATCTATCACCAAAAGTGACTGGCAGTGTTCAGCATTCAGAAAACCCATGAGAAGAGGGCAGTTGGAGCTGAAGAGTTGCATAAGCAACAAAGCACTGTGTTTCTAGCCTCCTTCCTGTTGACTCGGGGTCCCACACCTCACACATAGGGTGTTCATTTATATGTATGTATGTATATGTATATATATATTATATCTATGTGCACACAAATATATAGGACCTAAAAATTTAGAGATAGAAGTGTGCATCAGAGAGAATTAATAATTATTCATTTTGCAATGGATAATCCTTATAGATCTAACTAGTACAGAGTATACTTAAACTATAGATTGAATGCTTTATTTACTTTGCCAGAATCAACTCCTTGAATAACCACTAAAATTTTAGATAATGTATCTTTATTGTGTGTATTATATTTACATAATTAAGTATTCCTAAAATTTTCTTTTCTGAGTTCTTATTTGAAAAAGATGAAACATTCTTAAATTTTTGTGCTATGTCTGTCTTTGGTAATCTAAAATATATTTTTTCCCCCAAGTTCTACTCAGTAAATGTGGACTACAGCAAACTGAAGAAAGAAGGCCCTGACTTCTAAACCGTGAAGCTCACCATAAAGCTGCTTATAATGAAGGTCTTTCAGAAGCATCCGCACAATTTTCCACTTAACCAGGAAATACTCCTCTGAATGCATGAAATCATGTTGATTTTTTGGAGTTTATTAAACTGATGAATAAATCTTTGAAACTTGATAACGTGTCATTAATTAATGCTGAAAATCCATTTGGGACTTTATGGCTAGGGTATGTGAAATAAAATACTAAAATTCAAACCATCTCTTGGATTTCTCTATGCATTTGAGCATTTAACTTTATACTGCTTTAGTAAGTGTGTGTGTGTGTGTGTGTGTGTAGGTGTGTGTAGGCCCACACATGGTAACTTCTAAATGGAAATTAAATAAAGGGATATTGGGAAGTATATTCAAGCCTTTGTTAAACTGTGGAGTTCACTGCATGTTGGTCAACACTGCTGAACATGAGGCCTACTGTGGAGTGGTTGATATATACTGTGTTACTCCATTGGAGAAAACTGATTTTCCCACTCCCAACAAGTATAAGCTACAATTGAGTTGTTAACCTTTAAGTTTATCTTTAAATATAACAAAATAAAATATAAGACAAAAACTACCATACCTTTGTGGACAAGACAAACTAAGAAGGAAAAGAGCCCAAGAGTAAGAGAGACCCACTTGTCTGCACACAGGAATTCCATAAAAATACTAAACTGGAAGTCATACTTGTGCGTGCGCACGCATACGTATACAGAAACGTGCAGACCTGTGAAGGTCCTATGAATGCTGCTTCAGTCTCTGAGTTCATAGAAGTTTTGCTCTTCTTGATTTAGAGGGTCTTATTTTCTTGGTGTCCTCCATACTCTCTGGCTCTTACATTCTTTCTCCAGGTTCCCTTAGCTCAGGGGAGGCTTTGATAGAGACATCCCATTTAGGGATGAGTGTTCCCTGATCTCCCACTTCAAAATGTCTGGTTGTGGGTCTCTATTCGTTCCCATCTGCTGCAGAAGGAAGCATCACTGATGGTGGTTGAATAAGGCACTTATCTCCAAGTATAACAATATCATTAGGAGACATTTTATCAATATTTTAGACCATTGTTATTTGGTTTTGCCTTAGGTCCCTGTGCTATCTAGCCTCAGGTCACTCACCCAGCTTTTTAGTTTCACGAGGTCCCATTTATTATTGCCAGTCTTAGTGTCTGTGCTGCTGGTGTTCTAGTCAGGAAGGGGTCTCCTGGGTCAATGTGTTGAAGGCTATTTCCTACTTTCTTTTCTGTCAGGTTCAGGGTAACTGGGTTTAGGTTGAGGTCTTCAATTCACTTGGACTTGAATTTTGTACAGTGTGCTAGATATGGATCTATTTGCATTCTTCTACATGCTGACATCCAGTTATGCCAGCACCATTTGTCGAAGATGCACTCTCTCTCTTTTTTTTCCATTGTATAATTTTGGCTTCTTTGTAAAAAATCAGGTGTTCATAGGTGTGTGGATGTAAAGACTTATGTTGGGGTTTTCTATTCAGTTCCATTGATCTGTCTTTTTATGCCAGTAACATGCTGTCTTTATTATTATATCTCTGTAGCAGAGCTTATAAAGTCAGGCATGATGATATCTCCAGAAGTTCTTTTACTGACCCCAGATAAGTCTCATAGCAATAGTGGATAGGTAGCCTGAATTGGCCATCTCTTGGAATCAGGTTGGTAACTACCCAAATTGTCATCAGAGTCTTTACCCAGTAACTGATGGAAACAGATGCAAAGAGCCACAGCCAAGCACTGGGACATCCTCAGCAAATACTGTTGAAAAGGGGAGGAAGGATTGTATGAGCCAGAGAGGTCAAGGTCATCACAAGGAAACTCACAGAATCAACTAACCTGGGTCATAGAAGCCACAGACTCTGGACTCATAGCTAGGGAGCCTTCATGGGACCGACCTAGGCCTTCTACCCATGTGTGACAGTTGTGTAGCTTGTTCTTCTTGGATTCCTTACTGTGGGAGCAGGGCTTGTCCTCAGTGCTTTGGCTGGCTTTGAAGAACCTGTTCATTATATGGGGTTGCCTTGCCCAGTCTTAATACAAAAAGAGGAGCTTAATCTTACCTCAACTTTATATGCCATGCTTTATTGCCACCTTTTCTGTTACAGAAACAGGAGGAGTGGTGAGGGCATAGAGGAAAGGTTGGGGGAGAGAACAGGAGAAAAGGAGGGAAGGGGGAATATTCTTTCTTTGTTCTGTATGTTCAGTGTTTTGATTATTATGTGCCAAGTGGATTTTCATTGCTGGTTTGATCTATTTGGTGTTCTGTAATCTTCTTGTGCCTTTATAGGCATCTCATTCTCTATGTTCAGAAACATTTCTGATTTTATTTAAAATATTTTGTGGGTTTTGGGGCTGGGATTCTTACCCTTCTTCTATTCCTTGGACTCTCCATAGTGTCTCAGATTTCCTGGATGTTCAGTGTCTTTTAGTTTTAACATTTTCTTTGACAGAGGCATCATATCTGCCTGAGATTCTCCCATCTTTTGTATTCTTTTGTTGATGCTTCTGTCTGTAGTTCCTGTTCCCTTACCTAGGTTTTCCATTTCCAGAATTCCCTGTTTGTGTGTGTGATTTGTTTGTTTTATTTTTTTATATTTTCATTTTCAGGTCATGAACAGTTTTATTCATTTCCTTTAACTGTTTGCTTTCTCTTCACTTTCTTTAAGGGATTTATTAATTTCCTCTATTTTTTGTCTTTTTCCTCAATTTCTCTAAGGGATTTATTCATTCCCTATTTAAGGACTTCTATCATCTTCATAAATTAAGTTTGTCCTAAGATCTTTTTCGTGTGCCTCAACCGTATTGGACTGTTCAGGCTTGCTGTAGTGGGATAGCTGGGCTCTGGTGGGGCTCTATTACCTTGGCTGTTGTTGTGTTCTTACCCTGGTGTCTAGGTTTGAAGTGATTCTAGGTCTAGGTGCTGATTTCTGAGTTTATCTTTGTTGGATGACTGTTTTGGTCCTTGGTTTCTGCTTCCTTTCTCGTGTTCTGGTAAAAGTGTACCCACTGGCATCAGTTCCATTTAATGATATATTACTGGTTTCAAAATTCAGACAAGGAGAGGCTGCCTTTTATACCACAGCTGTGTTACTAAAAAGTGTGATTTGTATTTCTCCCTATGCTTGCTACCTCAGTGTCTACACACATAGAATTCATAACACTGTCCCAACCCCTTTGATTTACATTATGACTCAGTGATTGAAAATCTTGACATGCTGGTCATCTCTTTATGTTGAAACCAGCGCTGAATTAACCTGGGCCTGATGCTGAAAAAAAAAAAATGGTGCTATATGAATGACAAATAGCTGGGAAAATTTATTTTGAATCCCACCCCATGTTGTGTTTTTCGTTCTTCAAAGTCAGGCATCTGTAATCTAATAACCAAGACAGGACAGAAAGATAGAAAAAATTATGGAGATGTAAGAAGAGAGAGAAGCCCCTCACCCAGGAGCTCAGTTTGAGTCTCATGCTAAATAAGAAACAAGAATTCCAATTCCAACATGGTCGACATTTGCCGTGAAGGCTATTTGACATAGAAATAATATTATTTCATAGATGTTTATGGCTAAAATAACAATGAGCCAGGTTTAAGACCTGTATGTATATGACCTTGGGCAGGGCCTATTCCTTTGCCTACGCATCATCTCAGAAGCTCAAACAGGATTGTCAACATCATTTACCGAAAAGAACTCCCAACTTCCTGCATCTAGTTGACTTGTACTTTCCCTAACCAATTTTAAATCCTGTCAGGTGCTTTCCAAAACCACCCAGTGATAATAGCTTCCATAGTTACTCACAATACTATTGTAAAAACAGTACCATGCTACTCTCTTAGTGAAGCCGTGCCCATAGAGTAGGAAACATGTCAGGCTTGCTTTCTGTCTCACTCTTTTCTTAATCAATGTCCTTAAGTCCACACTAAGACATCTTTGTTAAATCTCAGCTCTGTTTCCTACAGCCAAGTCCTGAATTTTTTGTTGTTGTTTATTTGTTCGAAAGCAAAACTCCTGGTTTGGTTTGGGTTGAAGTCCCTAAACATTCAGGGAAACTACTCAAATCATTGCAAGTGAGAGGAAAGATCTATGCTTCTTGCCTATGTTATGCACACCAGTGAAAATAACTTTTTGTTTTCTTTTTGCATTTAGTCAGAAAAAGAAATGAGTTAATACAATGAGGTATTTAGACTCATATCCTTAGTAATGATATATTGCAAACTTACTTGCTTTAAACTATCCAATGGGTCACTTATTTTTCCCCCTGGCATATTCAAACATTTTAAATAATAAAACAAACTATTCTATGTAATATGAATGTGTATGCATGTGTGGACACATGTATGTAAAGACTTAAAATTCATATTGGATGTCCTCCTGAATCATTCTTCATTTATTTATTGAGGTGAGGTCTGGAACCCATACCTTGCTCAACCTAGATTTAGTGGGGAGTGTTATCATTGTTATTTATAACACTGGTCACCAGAGGCTGGTCCCATGAGGGGCAGCGGCAGGTCACCCGAGATCTTGGCGGGTCTCCTTGACGCGTGGGAGATCACGGTGGGTGAAAGACAGACAGATACACCATGCAGAGAGATAGTTTGGGTATGGAGTTTATTTAGTGGATTATGGAAGGGGAAGGGAAGGGGAGAAGTGGGAGGAAAGGGAGAAGGGGGTGGGAGAGAGGAGAGAGGCAGAAGCTGCCTCTCCAGAAGAAGGGGGGAGGAGAGAGAGAGAGAGAGAGAGAGAGAGAGAGAGAGAGAGAGAGAGAGCTCACAGGTTGGAGAGGAGGCCAGAGATCAGCTTTCCTAGGTGGAAGGGAGGTGGGGAGGGAGGTTGGGAGTTGGTGGAACTTGTCTCTTAAAGGGACAAGGTATCCAGGTGACAGACTGGGCCAACACATTACAATAGGGAGGGCCTTGGTCCTGACTCAAAATAATATGCTAGATTTTGTTGACTTCCCATGGGAAACCTACCCTCTCTGAGGAGTGGATGGGGGGTGGAATGGAGGGGTTGGGAGGAAGGTAGAGGGAGCAGAAGGAGGGAGGAGAGGGGGAAATAGATTTGGCATGGTAAATGAGAAAAGATAGCTTAAAAATTGGAAAAAAAAGTAGCAGATGGGAAAATAAAAATAAAAAAGAAGTGCAG